GTTTACATATATATATATATATAAATATTTCTTTATTATTATATAAATAGTAGTTACATATACTATATAATATATATAATATATATAAGATTTATATGATATTCAATTTATAAGAAGAAAATGATCTTTAATTATAGTTTTTAGATGTGCAAACAAACTCAATAACAAATTTCAAAGAAAAACCTTTGAATTCAATGGCTTATTTGTCAAAGCAAAATGTATCATTTTTTCCCTTTAATAATATTAAAAGTACTAAAGCATTAATCAAGAAACATAATTGGACTAAACAACAAATGACCAAATTATATCATCAGAAACAAAATAATATTCAAATACAAAATGTAACTAATTCATATTTAACATATATGTCAGTATTAAAAACGAATGCACAATGGGAAATCTCACCTGAATATTTAAAAAATAAGAAGTATAATATATCACTTAGAGAAATAGTACCAACTAAAAGAATATTTGATAATGTTTTATTGAAATTTGAAAAGGATAATGCCTTTTATGCAGAAATTTCTCCCAATGTAAAAAATGTAAATGAGATGCAAACTTCTGAGGATCGTAAATCATTTGAAACACAATTACAATCTGTATTTGATGTTCTTCGTAATGATGTATGTCTCTATATTGTGCACAGAAATTGCTTGGAATTATATAAAACTTGAAATTTTATTACACCAAAATGTGTTTCTTTCAGTTACCATTATTGTTTGTTCAATCAATGAATTATTCAATATATACAAAAGATTTAATATTTATTAATAATATTAAAGGAACAACAACTGTGTAAGTATATAATTTCAAATATATATAATTTGAAAAATTTTATTATTTTTAAATTAATAAATGTTATTAAAGGAATTATATTTATAAATGTTTTATAGAGGTATTGAGCAATATCTTAAGCAAATAGCATTATTAAGAATAGTAGGTCATTTAAAGTTTGCTTATGTTAAGTTAAAAATTTTAAAAATGACTATGCATCCAGAAGATAATAGTATTAAAGTTCGTTGGCGTATAGTAGGTGCCTCTGGTACACGTGTATTTCTTACATTTTGGAAAATTAAAATGTTTAATGCCAGAGAACAGGTAGAAAATAAATCAGCGTAAGTAGATTCATTTATAATTTTTATTAATATTAATAATATTAATAACTAAAAATTTTTTTATTATATTATAATATTAATAATTAAGATTTATTAATAGGTGGTATGATGGTTTTTCTACGTTTTATCTTAATAATGATGGTAAAATATTTAAACATGTTGTTGATAAAACAATGCCTGATCAAAATATAGAAGAAAAAATTAAAATGCCTGTTGAAGCAAAATTGGCATTATTTATTGCTTTATTAGATTCAAATTTTGTTCGATTTTGGTTAAAACAATATCCTGAATTTCTTCAAATAAAATAGAAAATTTATTAAAATTTTTTAAATTATTGCACTATGTAAAAAAAAAAAAAATAATAAATATTGAAACTATATTATATCTTTTAATACATTTTTTATATATTATAACAAATTAATCTAAATATTCAAAAGATATTTTTTTTTATATTTTCAAAAGATTAAAATAATATAGTGTAAAAATATATTATTAATTATAAAACTATAAAATTATATATGTTGTGTACTTAGATGTATATATAAGTATAATATTATTTATACTTATACTACACTAAATAATATTAGTATTTTGTTAAATTGTGATTAAATTAATTTATTATTTTAAAAAAGAATTTGAAGAAAAGAAATGTATTTTATTTCAAATATATTCAATAATATTGTGAATGTTATGTATGTTTTTATGCATACAAATTTATAATTTATAAAATTAAATATTTATATATAATCAAATATGTATTATATAGATATGTATTTGATGACTTGACTTATAATTAAATAGCAATTTATACTGTAGAAACTAAATAAAATATTTATTTTCCATTTTATTTTATTCTTTCATATAATTAAATTTGCATAAAAATAAAATTTATTTTATTTAACTTATAAAATTTAAATTGAAATGACAATTTATTTAATTACACACGAGTCCTATAAGAGAAATATATTTTTTAAAAAAAAAAGCAATATAACTTATTATCATTAGAGTAATAAAATAAATATTTACCTAGATAATCATCCATCAATGTTCCAATAGCAAACTAAAAAATATAAAACATATATAATATAGAATGTTAACATGAAAGTTTATATATTATAAATACTAACAATTCCAGTGGCATCAACTCTTGTACCAACAATTTTTAATCTTATTTCATCATCTGGTTGAATAATTACATCCTGTAATTTACAATGTTAAATAAATAAATAATTTTTAATCTAATTTTTTTTAATATATATATTTTTTTATATTTACCTCTTCTTTAGTTTTGTAACATGGTGGATTTATATTTGGACAAAACTGCATGTCTGCTGGAATTGACTGCAAAAGAGTTTATTAATTTATAAATTGAAATTATAAAAATATTACTCATATAAAAATAACTCACATGATGAGATATAAAACACGAAAGTGGTCCTATTTCAGCAAACATTCCAACCTAAAAAAAGAAATAATATATAACTTTTCAGATAATTTCATAAAATTTAAAAATATATTTAATATTTACTTTATTCACTTGTGTTACTATGGCATCTAATACTTCTCCTTTAAATGGTCTAAATACAATAGCCTTATATTTAACTGGATATACTACAAAACCTTGTCCTGGTTGTATGATTCCTGCACCTATATTATCTATTGTTGTTACAGCAACTACAAAACCATATCTGAAATTAGAAAATATTATAAATATTTAAAATAAATATATTGTTAATTGTGCTATGTATGTATAAACTTACTTTCCTGTACAAGTACCTTCTACTTCAGTATAAAGTTTTTGTTTCACAGTATCTAATAATTGAGGTCCAAAATATCTGGGATGTAATAAAATTTCATGTTCTAATGATATCTGTAAAAATATAAAATAAATTAATTATGCGTATTTAATATTTTTAACAAATTTTTATCATGAATCTTAATTCAATATTTTATTATATTTTATTATATTTATTTTATGTTATTATGTATTTAATAATAACTTACATGATAAAACATGCCTTATTTATATAATAGTAATATTAAATGATACTAATTTATAGAATTATTTAATATATTTATATTTTCCTAACATATAGGACCTAGTATCAATATTTCAGCCCGCCACCACTAGATGTCTAAAATTTTTTCTTGATTGCATGATTTATTATGTGCATTTTTTTACTTGAAACAATGTACTAAAATTTATTACCGGAATATTAAAAAATAAAAATACATATACATTATAGTATGTATATACATATATATATATATATATATATATTTAAATTAAAAATAATATAATATTGCAAGATACAACTCGATATAATTATAATTTTACATATTATTTATGCAAGTATTTAATTGATACAGAAGAATTATTTTTTACTATACGATTGTATATCTGCCTTTGTTGTTTTTAATTAGAAAACAAAGAAAAATAAGTAATCATGATTTGATAGTGGTAATTCGAAGACAATATATTTTTCGAAAATAGTTACGTTTTAATTTTATATATAATTTTATATACTTCATATATTATCTTTTAATCATAAAGATAATTTGAATATGATGCATACTGATGTTTCTATTGTTTAATTTATATAATTCTTTTTTTTTTAGAATAGAGTAAAAGTTTTTAGCTACATTATATCATCGTATGAATTCGGCTTTAGGAATATTGTAAACGTATTATAAGTATAATTTCAACGATATTAATAAATAAAATTAGAATTTTGAAATCAAATATAAATATAATATTATTTACATTATTTACAAATTATTTAAGTATTTATCAGGTAATCAATTGAAGTTGCGCATAAAATAAGCGCATTCCAGTTGAAAAAAATTTTTTAAATTAATTTATTATAGATTGAATTTAGCTATTTTCGATTAAGATTAAATTCAGATTCTTGAAAATATCCAAATTTTTCATGAATAGTTATAAACTATTTTATATTTCTATTGATGCATCGAAAAGAAATCGTAAATTTTTTTGATATATTTTCCTTTCGTATCGTGTATGTATCATGTCATTTCTATACAATGATTTTTTTTTCATACACTTCAAGAAAAGTATCGAGTGGTCAGAACTTGATCCATCATTTGTTCAGAATGATGCAAAATTTAGATTTTAAAAAAAGAATTTTGCAAAAGGAAAAATTCCGTGGAAAAAAAATATCAATATCTTGATAAACTTGAATATTTGAAATTGAAAATTTTTATAAATTCTTGGAAATAAAAAATATCGAATCTTATTTTGAATATTTTCCGAATCTTTATAAATCTATAATATGTTTATTAATATTTATAATTTATATTAAATCTTTATGAAATAATTATATAATATTCTTCTTTTTGATATTTGAAATAAGTTATTTTGATATTTGAATAAAATATTATAAATACATTAATTATAATCACTAATAAATTTAAATATATCGAAAAAGATTAAAAGAAAAATACCATGAATTTATTGGAAAATAATATCATTTTATTAATAAAGTATGTTCAAATTAATGCAACATGACAACTCTAAACTTTTTTTTTTCAAATCTTTGCAATTATTTTACTCGAATAATACAATAGAATAAAATATAATAAAATACAATTATTCATTTATATCTATATTATATTTTTTCTACTTTTATTTCTAATTACTTTTACACTGTCATTACTGTTTTTTCTCGCTTTTTCAATTTTCAACTCAAGATTTTTATTAATTTTCAATTCGGAAAAATCTTATATTGATATTCAATTTATGGTATTTTTTTTAAATAATAAAAAATATAATTATAAAAGATACAAAATATTTAATGCAGAAAATAATTTATTCTAATTTTAAATCATTATATATATATATTTTTTAAAAAAGCAAAGACTCTGATATAAAATATTGTATTAATTTATCTAATGTTTGTATAATATTTTGTACTATTTTTTAAATTACAAGAAAATAAAATTATTGATTATCATCATCTACAAAAGTTAATTTTTGTTTAATTTCTATAGCTAATTTATATCCAAGTTCTGGTCGACGATCTTTTCCTTCAACCATTGCTTTTACTTGGCTTGAATTTACAATTACTCCATTATTAGCTATAACAGTAGCTTTAGTTTTTTCAATATCAACAAGATCTACTCCCCGACTACAATCATCAATGAGAATAGTCCGATAACCGCTTGTAAGAGCATCTACAGCAGTAGCTCCAACACAAACATCATAGGCTAATCCACAGATATATATATCAGTGGCCCCTTTTTCTTGTAATTGCGAAGATAAACTTGTTTCCATCATCTTTTTATTATCCCAAAAAACTGAATATGAATCTACTTCTGAATTAGTTCCTTTATATATTTTAATTGCATTATCTATAATTTTCAGATCTTTATGAAGTTCAGCACCCCAAGAATCTTGAATACAATGACGAGGCCATAGACGTTGTTTTAATAATGGTGGACCTCTAAATGTTATGGTATCATAAACTTGTGCTGTTTCTTTTGAGATTCCACTACTGGGATCAATTTCTCTGTAAAAAAATAATAAATTTATAAATTATATTATAAAAATGTAATTATAAATTAATTAAATTAAATCAATTAATTCAAATTAATTACCTTAGATGTAAATTATCAATAAAAGATACATGATCTATAGGATGCCAATCAAGAGAATAAAATACTGCATCAAATTCTACAGTTTCCAATAAACGATTAATTGGTTCAATTACTTCTGAACCATCATGTTGTGCAGCACATTGTTTAATATTTAAGGAACCTGTTATAAAATCGTTTTGAACATCCACAATTAAAAATGCACTCTTTGGACGAGTGCATATTTTAATCCAACGATTCCAACATATCTACAAATTAAAAATAAAATTATGATGTTATTTAAAAATTATTTTATACGATTTAATAATCATTTTAATATTTATAATATATTTTAATATTATATATGTAAATACTTCAAATTCTTCTCTATCAATTTTCCCATCTCCATTCAAGTCAAATACTGAATATATTTCCTTTAATTGATTTTCTTCAACATTGTATATTTTTCCACGATCATTGCGAAATAATGCACGACAAATAAATTCAAATTCTGTAATAGATAAATATCCATCTCCATCTTTATCAAATGCAGTAAAACATGCATCCATGTTTCTTTGATGTAACTTGTTGTTTCCAAGTTACTTATTTAATCAATACTTGCAATACTTAATGATGTGCATTATTATATATTATTTTTTAAATTGTTTAAAATTGTTGGATAAGACTATATCAATTAAACTTTATTACTTATTTAATTTTAATTATATTACAATATCACAATATTTAACTTTAATCATATTGTAATATTTTGTTTTTATATTTATATTTATGCATAACATTACAACATTATATATATACAATATAATAAATATAAAATTTCTTTCATTCATTTATTTATTAAACAATATACAAATATAGGAAAACAAAATGAATTATTGAATTAATCTTTGATGGGTTAGCAATGATATATCAACCATTACTTCAGGTTCCAATAATTCATTTACTTTATATTTCATAGATTCTTCATGAGCATATGTAACAGATGTATCTGTAAGTTGGATATTACATTGTGCTAAAATTAAAATACAATTACGTAATCGTGCACAAACTTCACGGTTTACTTGAGGAATTCTTGACAAATCTTGTGTGAAACCACCTTCTGATCTATCAGTATCTTGTCTACTAGCTCCAATCCATATATAACCATTATTTCCTAATATTAAACTTGCACCATTTTCTAAAGTATGAAAATGTGTTTTTTTCGTTTTATAAGAGCTGGTGAAACTTTCAACATTATACCTTGAGACAATTTACCATATTTTAAAACTCTAGTATGTAATGAAAGAGAACCATCTACAAAAGTACTTTGTACTTCTGCACAAATTAAATCTCCTTCTTGAAGATAACGTCTCATAGTTTGTTCATCTTCAGCTGATCTTCTTCTCTATAAATTACATGCGAAAAACATTTTTACAATTAAAGTGCAAAAGTTACACTTTTAACAATTAAAAATGTATTTATTAAAAAAATTTTTTTAAACATGAAATTTAATATTTATATCATACCAATTCTCCACCTGGTAAATTAACACTGGAGAGTAATAATACAGAGTCAAGTTTGGAATTTGTGTCAACTTTCCATCGTTTTTGTTGTACTTCAGTTATACGTCCAACAACTACATCTCCTATTTCACCTTGATAACGCGCTTTTAAAGGTTTTATTGAAATAAGTTTATTTACTTTTTCTAAAATACCAGCTACAGATGCACGTAATGTATTTTCGTCATCTACATATGTTCCATGTCCTCTAATAATAAAAATTAAAAAAATTAAAATTTTTTTATATATTAAAATAAATATTAAAATAACATATTTTAAGTTTACCTTAAGAAATCAGATTGACTAGAAATTTCTTCTCCAGGAGTATATATTCGAGGTTGTATATCTTTATTTTTTAATAAATTTAAATCAGCTCTGTTTACTGCTAAACGAATATTAATAGGTGGATATTCTTCCATTATATGCAACAATTGTTTTTATTATTTTATATATATATATATATATATAATATAAAATATTAATAATTAATATTTAAAAAAAGCACATATATATGTCTTTCTTAAAGTATAGTATAGGTTATGATTAAGGTTGGGATTGTATGTAAGTAGTATAAATGAAACACAACATAAAGCATCAATATAATATCGTGAAAATTATTATTTATCTATTATAATAATATTATTTAAATATTAAAGTAATAATATATAGTTAAAAAATCTAATTTTTTTAATCGATTAAAATTTATTATTTTTAATAAACAAGATTTCTCGTAAAAAGTAAATAATTATTACTTAAGTATTATATTATTTATTTATAAATACTTAAATTTAAAATTTTAATTTTGAAATTAAATTAATTATTATACGATATTAATAATTATTTTTTTAGTATTTTATAATGGACGATTTTATTCCAACACGAGTATCAAGGATAAAAAAAGATGCTGTAAAGGAATTCGTATCGGTAAACTATGAAAAGCCGAAAAAAAAAAAGAAGTAATTAAAAATAAAGAAAACAATGATATACAAAATTCTAAATTTAATATAACAAAAAATAACAAAATGAAAATAATGATGAAAAAAGAAAAAAGAATTAGAAATGAAACGTATCAAATATGAGGTTATGAAATTTAGTATGACTGGTTTTAAAGGAATAGAAGCAGAAGAAGCAGAAGTTGCACTTGCTATAAGTTTAGGAGCAAAAACCTCCAAAAAAAAAAGGTATTAATTATAAAATATTGAAACATGAAAAAAAACAGGAAATGCAACAAAAAGATGTAAAATCTGTATCAGGTCTCGAAAAAAGTTTGATAAAACATAAAATTAAAAAAGTTAGGAAAAATTCTAATAATTTATTAAGAATGTATGGAAAAATAATAAGAAAACTTTGAATAAAAAAATTAAATAAATTTTCTTAAGTAAGGAAGTATTTAATTATTGGATAAAAATTAAAAATTTAATAAAATATTAACCATAAACATTTAAAATATTTTTAGTTATTTTGTTTAATAGTTACAACATTAACTAATTATCTAACAGTAATGTGTTTTATGTATTGTATATATGACAATATATATTATAACAAGTAATAAAATAATATTTTTATATATTTGTGAATTCATTTGGGCCAGCCTTGAGCTTCAATGAGAGGATATATTTATCTATTCATCTTTATCTATTTATATTTAAAATAGATATTCATATTATGTTTACTATGCCATAAAATGGAATGATTTGGCATTTAAAGAATTGTGCTTTGCATCTGATTGAAGTTAATCAAAAGCTGCAGCTGTTGGTGCAACTTCGAGTAACATTTGAAGGAAAGCATTCACTCCTTCTAGTAAAAAAAAAAAAAAATAATCTTAACAAATAATCTTTTTTTTTCGATATTATTTGTTAATTTTTTTTAATTAAATGAATGTTTACCCATAAATTTGGGCACATATCCGTATTTAACAAACGGGAGGTAGACAAGCATGCCCGCTAATATAAATCCAGCCGCATACAAGTATTCAATTTGAGGTTTATCGATGATTGGCGCTATAATCAGGTACGCAGAAATTCCAAGTACGAGGACAGGTATTATCAGCGGACATTTATATGGTCGTGGATGATTCGGTCTGGTCCTTCGCATCACCAATAGAGCTAACATAGCTCCACCATAAAAGATCCAAGCAGTGAATGAAAAAAAATCGATCAAGGAATCAATGTTTCCAGATATTACCATCGCTCCTAATTAATGAAGAAATATTTCATTATATATATATAATACAATATGTAAATATATATATATGTAATACAATATATAAATATATATATATCAAGAATAAGATGTACCTGCAACAAGGGAATGAAAGATAAGTCCAGGCGCAGGAGTAAAACGTCGCACATGCACATAGCTAAGGCAGTCGAGTAAATGGCCTTCTCGAGATGCCGCGAAACAAAGTCTACCTGCTGCGAAAAGAGTACCATTTGCGGAACCAAAAGTACTAATCGCAACCGAGAATGGCATAAGCCATGCCATAACGCCAAGAATTCGATTTCCGAAAGTCTACAACATTAATTCATATTTTGTTACATATTTAAAATTTTGTTGAGATATAAATTGCAAAATATAAATATTTGTTTTATTTCTAACAAAAAAAAGGATATTAAAAATTTATCTTACCACTGCAACAGCCTCGCTTTCAATCATCTCCGAAGGTGACATCACGGCTAGATAAGAAACGTTTATCAATGCGTAACATAGCGTGACGAGAGGTATACCAATCATAATAGAACGTGGCAAATTTTTCGAAGGATCTTTGATTTCTTCAGTGACATAATTGAGATTATTCCATCCATCGTACGCCCATAAACCAGTATAAAAAGCAGTGGCTAATCTGCCTATATTAACGGTACTACCGTCGAACGTATCGAAAGCGCCTTTGAGATGCTGCGTATTACCCTGTATCAACTTATAAGAGCCACCGGCAATTACGACAAGTATGGCGATCAATTTGGCTGCAGTAAACGCGTTTTGTACACCTGTGGCCAGATTAACGCTGTAACAGTTTACTAATAATATAAGTATGATCGCCAGAAGCGCAACGATTTTGACGACTTCCTCGGGTGGATCACAATCGGCCGCAAAGGCCTCAACCGCATACTGTGCGAACGACAAACAGATTATTGCCATTTGAGATGGTTTCAAGACCAAAGTGGAAACCCACGAGAAGAGGAAAGCAGGTGGTGCACCGAATGCGTCCATAAAGTAAGCGTACTCGGCGCCGCTGCTCGTATTCATCGTACCCAGCTCGGCGTATGCTAACGCACCGCACAGACTCAACATGCCGCAGGCCGTCCATACGAGGAAGCTGATTCCGATACTGCCGGTTCGAACCAAAAGCCCTGACGGCGAAACGAATATCCCAGAACCTATCGTTTTGTAATGAACGACGAAGAAGAATAATAAGAAGAAGAATTTGAGAAACTAAACTATTCTCAGTTAACCGTATTTAAGATTTTACTGAAATCGTATAGATCGCTACCTATCATGGTACCAACGATTAGAGCCACCCCACTGACGAGTCCCACCCGTCTCTTGAGGTGAACAGAGTTGTTCTCCTCTGGGTCCGTCCCCTCCAGCCCTCCACCCCCTCCACCCCCGTCTTCATCATCGCCCAGATCCCCAGATTTAATTTCTTTCTGTTTCCGTTCGTGTAGCTGTTGTTGTTCCGGTTGACGTTGGAACGGCGATGTAATTGGGTTCCAGCCGTTGCTGTTGCCGTTGCTTCTGATTGATCGAGAGACCAATGTTGTTTCTGGAATTCCATTCCATCCACTGCCTTGTAATTGTTGTTGCGACTGATTACCGTTACTTGTCTGTGGATCATGTCCCACGGTAACTGAAATCATTTAGTTTGCTTAATTATATTTTGTCTTATTCGTATATATTAATTTTTAAAATATATAAATATATAAATACCATTATTAAATTACATTATAATTATATTATATCATCTATCGAATTAAAGATTTACAAAAATTGAATGGTTACCTTCATACATAATTCATCGGACTTTATTATCGACAATTTCAATCAAATCCTCTATTAGTTGTAAATGATACAAACTTTTGCGAAAAAATATAATAAATACTTTGCTTTGCTATTAACTAATATTTATTAATAAGAAGAATATTTAAATGTGCATGCTTTTTTTTTTAATTGTAACTCTGCACTTTTTAACAAAACAAAAAAAAAAAATTTCTAAAAGAATTCACTTAAATGAAGTGTTTAAATTATCATAAAACGATTATTCAAAGTAATAATATATTGAGAATCACGATACTATCGAACTGTTTTCTTTTAATAATGAAACACATTAGCATACTACGAAGTGCTGTGGCAATCTAAAAAGCGTCAAGTCGTTGATTTTATATTTATGTCACTACACAACAAATATTATTGTATTATAACTAAAGTACTGTTGCCGTAATAGTTTGCATGGCTAGATGCCAAAGATTTCTCGTGATCAAGTGAGGTCAGTCTGTTTTCTTCACACGTTTTAGTGTACATACATAAACCGTAAAATACAAACATATTTCTCAGAATTTTTACGCGCTTATTTCCTCTTTGATATCCTTATCTTTTTTATGAAGTTTTTTCAGTTCATTATCTTTTTTAATAAACTATTTAATATCAATTTCTTATCCTATATCTATTGTATATATATTGATAATTGAAATTAACAATTTCGATATTGAATATCAAGTGATCATAAATCTCTTTGAAAATAAAAGAGTTTAATTTATATTTATTTTAATGATCCCTTGAACGCGTGACAGTTATAGATATAAGCAGATATTAGATATGTTGTATTCTTTCAACCGAACCTCTACCACATAAAGCGTCCGTGGTTTCATCTTCAAGGTGACCTTTCGATAAATTATCGATTTTCTTATTAACAACACATCTACATTAACAATTTAATGCTCTGCATTAGATTTTAATATTGTCTATTTTAAAATAGGATTCGAATTTCTTCTCTGAAGCGAATCATTTAAAATATTTAAATATGTAAACGTATTCTTTTTCATATTAGAAATATTTAAAATATTTTATTTAATTTATTGATAAAATGATGATAATGATAAATTATTTAGCATTTCTTTTTTTTTTTTTAACTTCTTTAATTTACTCAAGATCATCAAAAATATTGAAAATTTGACTAATTAAACTTTATGGAATTTATGAATCGATTCAATTTTTATTTCGTTTGCAATTTCTTTATCCATAAGCATTTTAAATATCTACATAACGATGAAAATTGTAAAGAATGCTGACTATATTATGTTGCTATGTGGCAATGTACCATTAAATATATTTGTACAACTGTTTTAATATAATATTAAGTATAAAATATTGTCAGCATACAAGGTCATGAGAAATGCAATTAAAATTGAATTTATCGATACTTCAAAAAGTAATAAAAGTCTTTTAAAATTTATAACTAAACTATTTAGATTATTTTAGTTGTTAATCTACAAAAGAATGATGCAATATCACTGAAGATGTTCGCGCTCGACATTATTTTGTAAAGCACTGTGTAAATATATATATAAAAGAAAATAAATAAAATATAAAGATAGAAGCATAAAATTTAAAAATACAACATCTTTTTAAAACATAAAATTGTTAGCTTTTTAAACGAAAATCATTCAATGCATGTAAGATGTAATTTGAACTTGTTTAATAAAAATTGTTTTTATTTCAGCTCTATTATTTTCAAATTTTATTTTATAATTGCTTTGCATATAAAGGAAGTTAGTTTAATAATTTTAAATGAATTTTAAATGAAAGTAGGAAGATATAAAATGTTATAAACTCTTTATTATTAATGATCATTATACTCATCCGATGACGTATTACCTATTAGCTTATAAAATTCGTCGAATTGGTAATAAGATATGCTGATACAAGCGTTTGCAATGTATGATGTAGATGTATAACGAAAAATTATATTTGAATTATACTTTTTGTCGTTTATATCGGGATCTTTATTACTTATATATTATATATGCTTTAAATATTTATTCTAAATCGTGTTAATGTCTATTGTGATAAACTGTCGTAATGATCCAATTGCATTTAATTGATCGTTCGTGCGAGAAAGAAACCGATCTTTGTCTTGTATGAAAGATGATTTTGTCTATAAGTAAAGGTCAAATAGATTGTAAAATGAATATAAAAAAATAGAAGACAAAAATTTTCTTACGAATAACATTTATGCATAACATTTATAAAAAAAATAAGAAAAAAATGAGTCATAATTTGAAATAATTTTCAATTCCATTTAAATCTTAAGTTAATCAATCGATTATATCAAGAAGTTATTCAATAATTGTATCAAATTTTAAGAATCGACAATTCTTTATCTTTAATAATTTATTCCAAATTGAATGATATTTATTCCAAATTAGTTGAGAGATAGAATATAAAATCTAAATCATTTTTTGAACCGTATAGATATTTTTCAATTCATCAAGTTCAAAGTTATGACAATATTCTGAAGTGTGCTTGCTATATTTAAAATTAAATACTTGGTCATTCTGTTACGTAAATTATGATAAAGAACGGTCAATTTGCTCACAACGTTAAACCGTAAAATTGTTCGTGTAAAGCTGACGATTTATAATCGTATGACATTGGTCAATGGTTTCCGTTTTATACTATCGATCGTTAAACTTGCTATTGTTCATAATTCCAAGGAAGGAAGATAACTTTTAACTGTTTTACTTTATATAAAATTCCAATTCGAAAAGACAATTTTTATAAAAATTCAACTTCTATCGAAGAAGAATTTTTTATATTCTATACGAAAGATTTTGTACGAATATTCTGTACGAAAAATCGAAAAATGGAATTATTAAAGATTTTTTAAAACTTAACTAATAAAATGCACTTTGTGCGTATGATGTGCGTTCATTTTTCATTTTTATGATTATGAACATTTTTTAAAAGATTATGAATAGAATTTCAATAACTGTAATGTTTTGAATAACAAGATTTTACGATAAAATCAACTCTGCCTCGAATACGACCTAACTAAGATAGTAACTGAACACCACGAAGAAGACAAAGAAGCATTGGTTTGCATAGAAAGTACTATAATTGGCTTAAATGGAATACGCGTGTTGTAGAGTACTTATCGCTGTCTGTTCGTTCAACAGTTCTTTAAGAAATCGTTGTTCATCTATTTGTAGACAGACAATACGCAACACGTATTCATAACGAAATGTTAAAAATAAATTTTACGTAAAAAGAATACCAAGATTTATAACGATGAACATTCTTTAATGCTTTTTATGATTATAATTTGTGAATATATATGTCTCTAATAAAAAAAATAACTTTTCATATTCAGTCAATAGTTCTTTTCATTAACTTGAAGATTATCGTCTAGATCTATTGATTGTTTCATTAACACAATAAGATATGGTAGCTAAGCTTAACAAACTATAAATTTCTTTCTACGACGGAAACGAAAAACCACTTGCGCAAAATATCTTAAAATACACGTATGGGCTAGATTTAACATCGAGGTGGACTTGGAAATTTGATTCCATTCTGTAATAAAATTAAATAATATGGATGTATATAAATGAAATATTAGCGAGTATTATTAAATTAATTTAATTTTTTAATTATGTTTTTTAAATAGAAAACGCAGACATCTCTTAAGAATTTTATACCAATATATATTCGAATATGTACTTATATTTCTTATTTCATAGAATGACGCAATTCTTCGTAAATTTTGAGTTAGCATTTTTCAATTTTAAAATAATGTTTCATTATTTTCTTTGATTGTATTAATTATACTCGATATCATTGTTTCTTTCGATTACAGTTTATTGAACGATTTATTGAATCGCTTGCGCTAATTATGAATGATTATTGAATTTTTCAAAAAATTTGTATGTTAAATATTAAATGAATTTTTTATTTAGTTCATTAATAATTGTTTTCATATATATATTAATAAATGTAAAATCAAAAAAAGTAAAAAAATAATATTTTTTTCTAATAAATAATGCAATTCATTGTAGAAATATTTTTTTATTTCTTTGCACATATATTTATTTTTAATATGAGATGAAATTTTTTGATATACTTCCATGCATTGTGTTTTAATATCTATATAAGAGAAAAACAAAGAATTTTATAAAATACGAATCGGTACATTCTACTATACATATTTTTGTGTGTACTAAATGTATAAATATATATTAATAAATTTTATTTGTTAATTACTTTTTTAATAAAAATTTAAAAAAATTCTTAAGTATCAACATGATATTTATCGTAAAATTATCTATATCTTTTTAATAAATATTTATTTTTTTGATCGATTTATTAAATTAAAAATAAAAAAACCTGTTACTATTTTATTAGATTGCATCGTATTACGAATGCGTTTATAATTCAATCTCATTTTTATAATTATTTTTATTGAACTCTTAAAATTGTTGATTTATTTAAAAATATATACAATTGTTAATAGTAGATTTTGTTCAGTAGCAACAGTCAATGAAAAGATTTCTTTAAGAATGGAAGTCGCATTTATGAATGAACATTCTAATGAAAGTAAAAAAGCGCGCGAATTTCACCATTTATAAATATGTGACTGTTTTCTTCATGAGATCAAATGTTATGACTTAATGAAAAATAATATTAAATAATGAAAAATTTCATTTACCTCGTTTGAAGGGCGCGACATGCATGACTCTAAAAGGGACCGATAAAAAGGGCGGACTGTGAGACCGCCTCTCATGACACCACGCCGACTTTTCGGAATAACCACTGTCTCTGCCGTATACAGCTGTCTTCGGCCCGCCGTCTGCTTGTTTTTTGCGCTAAATTCGCTCGCAAATTTCTAGTTCACGTTTCAGTGGGCGACTTTTATGTACGCCCTTACTTTTGCTTCAGATTTTGAACAATAATAATTTGTTCAGATGAATAATTCTCTTAATTTCAAATTAAATATTTTTAAATTTAAATTTCTTCAATGACATCAATATGATCAACACAAATTTGCGTATGCTTTTATATGATTATAATATTTCGACACGACTAGCACCGATCCACCTCTGATGATGAACTGGGTGTTCGACAGAGGGAGACGTACCCGCCAAAGAACGAACAGGAGCGAGGTCGGGAAGGGGAAATTGGAAGTGCGATAGGGAAACGAAGATAGTAGCATGAGCGTTAGCGTCGGCGCTCAAATTCGCTCGATATCGTTTTTTGTCTTTCGACTTCTATTAAATATCTATGAATTCATTATTTGATATTTTAACTATTTTTTATTTTTCGTTTTTATTATATATGAAATATTTATATACAATATATAAAAGATTTTTTATGTATGTTTATATGTAATTTTTTATTCGTCTAGTTATTTCATTTATATGTAGTTATATATCTATAATTTTTTAAAATAAATTGATAAAGTTTTATATATATATATATAAAATGTATGTTATGATAAGTTTAAAATACATTTTCATTTTTTTAAAAATTATGAAAATAGTAATATTGATATAATTTTTTATTGATATATTACCATTTTATAAAATATCATAAGTAATAAGGAATTCTAATAAAGGAAATTCTAATTCTATTTCTAGAATTAATTTAAGAAGAATAATGAATAAAAGAAAATTTTATTAGTTGAAATCCAAAATTGTATCAATAATAGATATTAAAATAAAAACAGTAAATACTATATGCAATAATATTATTACATTTTTTAAATTATTCATTTTATAAATTATAAAGAACATATTATTTGTAAAATCGATTTAATATTATTAATTAAGTTATTCTACTTTGTAATTGTAGGTCATATATACATTTTAACAAATTAATTTTTTCTATAAAATAAAAGAATCATGCTTTTATTATGTTATAGCAATTAATTTATGTATGAAAATATACAAACTTTTGTAAAAAATTAATTATTGAATTATTAAATACAATGTTAGGAATAGAATATTTTATACATATAACGTTTTATAACAAAAATTTAACAATTTAATTTTCATAATATAATATCATAATATTCATAACAGTATAAAAATAAAAATCTTTTATTGTAAAATTATATATATAAACTGATCTTAAATACATATATGTAGAGATAAATTTTCAAATATTAAGAATTCTTTAAATATTTTTTCAATATTTTTAAACAATATTCTTTTTTGTATGTATATATCTTTTAATTAATTAATTGTAATTTATGAAACAAAAAAATTTTAAAAGTGATTAGATTTAATTTTAAAAAAATTATATTTTTTAAATATATCTCTTTTTAAATCAATTTTTAATCTTTTATTTCAAAAGAAATTCAACCAATTTGTAAATGAATTTAATTCATTTTTATACTTGTAATTAATATATATATATATAATATATATATATTCATACTATTACATATATATGAAATTCATAAACACATATATGTTGAATATTTTAGAGTTTCAATATAACAAATGAATTTTTATTTTATAATTGTTCTTATGTTAGGCCAGTTTATAGTGTGCAATTTCAAGTCATAAAACAAGACTATCATTGTGTGCAATATATGTAATATTCTTTGATTAATTATTTATAATAAATGTTTGTGTATATAATACAAGTTACAAAAAAGAAAATAAATATTTGGAATGCTTCAATGTACTTTAATAAAGTAACGGTAGACAAGAGTCGCCAGAACCCCAAGAGCAATAGGAATCAGCCATGATCTCCAAGCACCACTGCAACTGCCAATTATCATGTTATGATGCAGCATTGACTATTTACATATCATACATTTTGAATTTTAATAACATTATAAATTTTGAATAGCACATATTTTTATAATGATAAGAAAATATAAAAGGTAATTATTAATATACATAAAAAAAAATATACAAATATATTGTTACAAGAATGATAAATTAATGATTTGTAACAAATCTAAATTTTCAAATGTGCTATTCAATGAATATAAGTTATTAAATGGTGATAGATATGCCAACACCAATGCAGAAAAGATGTTAGTAACAAAATTATATACCTATAATACTATGATTATAATAATATAATAATTAAATACAAAATTTTATACCTAGAACCATTTATTTCAGATACTTCAGTAAATTCATTATTTTCTTGTGTTCTTTCCTCCTAAAATTAATTTATTTATTATTTATATTATATTAAATATAAGTAAACATAATAATAGATAAAACAAAAATTATATCAATAAATATAAAATTATTAAATCCTACACATACTTCTACTAACTCTCCAATTTTAAATTTCTCCATTAATTCTCTTGCATCACTTGAATGTCCAATATCTTCAAAGACTTCTGTACAATCTTGACCACCTTGTTCTAAAAGTACTTCTTCTCCTCCAGGATGCTTAAATTTAATATATGAACAATATTTTTATACATACTTCAGTAAAGTATATGTCGATTATAAAATAAAAAAAATAAAATAAAATATATAATTACAGTTGTAAATTCAGTCACATTATAAACTTTATTATGAATGATAAACCATAAATCTTTATTATTATTATGCTTAGCAACTTCTTCCCGCGTGTAAAATTTAGTATAAGCGGTATCAACAGTATTACTCTCAGACGCCATATTTATTCTTCTACAGTAGATAATATTTTATAGTAGATATATGAATATTATATAGATATCACTGAAAGAAATGAATAAAATATTGAATATATTGGATGATGTATCGCTAAAAGTTTGTTATATTAAATTTCGTTTACAAAATATAAAAAATTTTATTCCGCACCTATATTAACTATGAGTGCAATTGTAGTCTGAATTCAGTAAATCCGTTAGTAAGTTATGTCTTATACGTAATAATATTGGACAATAAAAAAAAAGCTATATAATTTTTTCTTTTTAAAAATTGTTTTTATGAATTATTCTCAGTTAATAAATAATTTAATCTTAAATAATATAATAATAATTTTATAATTAAAAACTGTAAATACTTCTTTAATAAAAATATAAATATATGCTTTTAAATAAATTGAATATATAATAAATATTTTTTATATAGATATTATATAATATTATAAATTTATAAAATTTTAAAACTTATTGTTTATTATGATAAATGAATTTATTGCCAAAAATATTTATTGATGTAATAATATAATATAAAATTTAAACAAAAAATGTAAATTAATTTAATTGTATGTATATATTTATAATTAATTATTATAAGATTTAATTGAATTAAAAACTATATATATCATAAATAAAAACCAATAGGAAATCATTTCTTCTGTTGAATATTTAAATCGAGTTATGGCATAATCATTTTTTCGAATATTAATGTTTATATCAAATGCAGTTCTTTTGACAGAATACAAACATTTTTATATGAATTAATACCATAATAAATAATTTTTAATATTTTATTTCAGTTTCGGCAAGTAATGTTTTAAATTTTATGAAATACAATTAATTTTATAATCAATTAATTAGCAGTATATATAAAATGAATCTTGCCGGCATTTTTCCTGTGTACATCGGTATTTTAATTATTTGTGTAAAATGTGAATTTACATTAACATTTGGATTTAGTAATATTCGTTCCATGATAGAAAATATACAATGTAATTTTATGGAATGTTGTACGAACGAATATATTTTGTCTGACATTGATAGTATGTATATTTAATAAAAAATTAAACATTTTAGGTTATTTGTGTTAGAATTTATATATATAAATATATATTGACAATTTTAGAATTAGATGAAATTTTTAATAAAAAACTTTATGGTCAAGAAATGGCTCAACATGTAATTATAAATGCTTTACGTGCACATTTAACTTCAAATAATCCTTCAAAAGCTTTAGTTATGAGTTTTCATGGTCCACCAGGAACTGGCAAAACTTATATAAGTCAAATGATTGCTAACTTTCTTTATAAAAAAGGTGATCAAAGTAAATTTTATCATTTTTTTAATGGTCGTAATGATTTTCCTCTGCAAGATAAAGTAAATGAATATAAGGTATATTTCTATTGTTATTATAAAATCATTTTTGAAAAAAAAAATAATAAATTTAAAATTGAAAGCATAAATATAATGTAAATATTAATGATATATTATTTTACTACACAGGATGAATTATACAAAATTATTATTGGTAGTTTACAAAAATGCGAAAGATCAATGTTTGTATTTGATGAAGTAGATAAAATGCCAGAAGGTCTACTAAATGTTCTTGTACCATTTTTGGATTACAATACATGGGTCAAATCATGGAGATTTACAAGTTATATAAATGCAAGAAAAGCAATTTACATATTTTTATCTAATACAGGTAGTGCAAGAATTACGCAACGTTTATTAACACTTTGGAAGGAAGGCAGACAGAGGCATACAATTAAACTTCAAGACTTTGAAAATTTAATAAGTGTTGGAGCATTTAATGAAAGGGGTGGTTTCTACCATAGTGATACAATAGATTCTAATGTTATAGACCATTATATACCTTTTTTACCACTTGAAGAAGTTCATGTAAAAAAATGTTTAAAAAAAATTTTCATGGATAGAGAAGTAGATCCTACTAATGAGATGATAGAAGAAGCATTATCATATGTAATCTTTGGACCAGCTCCATATAATATTTATGCAACTACTGGCTGTAAAAGACTAGAACAAAAAGTAGGTACTATTATATATGCCAATAAAAAGCATAAATTAGAACTTTAAATATATATAAATATTGTATTTTTATGTTAATGTTTCAATAAGATCTAAATTTTATTGATTTTTCTTATTGGCACAATTAGAAGATGTGTAACAATTAAAAAAATACAATTAATTTCTTACAATAATACATGTAGCATTTGATTATTTATAATTATGTATGTATATGTTATTTAAGAAATAGCTAAAATTTGTCATTATCAACAGTACAGAATTATAATATATACAATTGAGTCTTGGCAATTGACTTTAAAATATAGTCATAAAGAAGAAAGCTGTCTAGAAATATGAATATTTAAGGATATTTTTTTTATATGATTCTAATATACAGCAATAGACAACTTTAATCTTTATGACTTTTTATATCTTTATTCGTACTGTTATATTATATCGAAAATAATTATAATTTTTTTTGTCTATACAAATAGCTAAATATATATTTGCTTTTATGCATTCAGTTCCCGTATATGAATATAAACTTTCTATTTATATATTTGTGATACAATCTCAAATAATGAGAACAACAAAATAAATTGTATTTTTATACCAATGTGTGAAGATATATCTTTGTTTTAATTAATGTAAAAATGCATTATATTATAATTTTTTTCTCTTTTTTTTTTTCATTAAGAATTGTTTCAATAACATATTATGATTGCATAATGATGCAAATAATATAAAATATTCTTGATCACTGTGCTATCACATGAAAGAAATATCTAAGTAATGTATGGTTATTCTTCTTCAACATATTCTTTTGGGAAAAACCCTACTTGATCTCCAATTTTTCCTTTCCACCAACCTTTGGCATCACCTTCTTTACTCAATACCACAACTCTGCAACCTCGTCGTAGACTTAATTGGTTGCGTTCACCTCCTCGAAAATCAAATAATGCTTTAGCCAAGACACGTCTATATGGCCATAATAAACGTTGATCTAATTTTTCAAAATTTTCTGATAACGATGCCCGTTCGTAATATTCAACAAGTTCAACTACACTTTTGAAGAAACGAGATTCACTGAGATAATAAACATCAGCACCATCGACATCGCGTTTAAATACTCTTATGTGTTTTACCGTTCCATCTGCCCTATAATATTGGTTGATTATTAAAAAAAAAAAAGTCAAGAGATAAAAAAAAATATTTCAGAAAAAAATATTATTTATATGAAACTCTTACTTGATACTTAGAGCGTAATTAGTTTCATGTTTCAAACGAGGTTGTCCTGCAGGCCGTACTCGTAACATATAGGTACCATCTTCACGAGGTTCTAATTTATTTGATGCTGTATCACGTCCCATTTCTCCTACAAACCATAATTTCACAGAGAGAGCACGTTCACATGATAAGGATGGTGGAGGTGGAGGCGGAGGCGGTACTGGCATACACCGACCTGAATGTGCAATGCATTGTTTGTGTACAGCATAACAGCAGGCTTCACATCGATATCCCTATTTAAATGAATAATAAATTTATAATAATTTAATAATAAATGTCTAATAATTAAATTTAATGTTTAATAATTTTATAACATTCTACCTGAAAAATTCGACCTTTTAAAAATTTGCCACATCGTTGACAACTACGTGGAGTGTTAAATGTTGTAAGCTTAAACTTATGATTTGTATTGCGACACGCGGCAGGATTAACATTGTCCATTGCATCTTGTAATGCCTTCATCCACATTTGTTTTTGTTCTTCGGTTCTTGCATGCAAAGTATATGCAGTATATTCTTGTTTATGAACCAAGAGCCATTGATAGGACCATCGAGAATCTCTGCCAAGAGTTCGCCTTCCTGTGTGATCTTCTAATCGATAATCATCAAGACGTAAAGTTTCACGATAACAATATTGTTCTCCTCTGCCTGCTTTACAAATTAATACTACTTGTTCGAAAACAAACACATAACGCGCTTTTAACCGTTGATCACCATGAGCTTTTACCTGAAATATGATAGTAATATTTCGTTAATTTTTATAAATATGTTTAAATTATTTCAAACAAATTTACTACCTTGAGTTCTCCATCCCTAAGTAATCGTCCAAAGTCTTTTAATTGTGTATCTTCTGGAACGTCCCAATCAATTATCGATGCTTGAATATCTCTTATAATGTCCAACGTGTCTGAATCACGTTTTACCTCGTTAATATATTGTGCTATGTCAACCATTACTTCTCTAGCTTTTGCAAGTTGACGTCTATCTTCTAGCCAATCACAGGGAGTTTCTTCTACTAATTTATCAAGCAATAAATGATATTTTAATACTCTTTGCATTGGAACAGATAAAATATCTCGCAATTTGAATTTTCCATTATTTGCTTCTTGTTGACATCTCTGCAATTATCACTTTCATTAAATTTATTAGAATATCGTACATTAAGAATAAATATTTTAAAACATACAATAACTTCTTGATTAACTAATTCATTACGCGCACATGCTTCTTGCAATGTATTTTGAGCAAGAGTAAGATTTGCGCAATAATCGCCATAAATAAGAAATTTTTCTCGCCAATCAAGAAAAACTTGTGCTAAAGCAGCACCAGTCCGTGCTTTTCGAAGTTGACTGTGAAAACCGGCATGAATTTCTGCAAGTTCTTTTATGCCAAAAAAAATACGTGTAGAATCTTCAGGTCGCAGTAATGAAGAAAGAGGTCTAGCAAAATGTTTAAGTAAACTATTAAGAACATCCGAATAATTGCGTTCTGTCTCAACAAGTTCCTGAATTACATAATCCCTTTTTTCACCTCCAGAAATTGCTCCATCCTGTTTCATAAAAATTGATTAAAAGTTTTTTTTTGTAACAAATACAATAATATGAAATATGAAATACCATGAAGCATAACAAAATTAATTATTAGCTATAATTTATAATATTAAAATGAATTTTTGATGATTGCCTGTATATAAAAAATATAAATATTTAACGACCTGTGCAACAGATGGAGGAGGTGGCAAATGTAGACTACAAAGGTCCTGGTAGATTTCTTCACTTTGAGCATGGCTGCAGTATGCTCCATATCCATCTTCTTCTTCAACGGGATCTTCATTGTCGCCTCCTCCACCTGCTTCATTTCCCTCTCGCCTTCTAAATCTCCTACGACGATCTTCATCTTCACGGCTTTAGCATAAAAATATGAACAGCCATGCACTATTCATGCATGAAAAAAATAAAATTTCTTGCAAACTTAAACTATTTGCAGCAACTATAGATTTCATTACAAACAATAAATATAATTTAGCACATAAAATTTTAGAACAAATATAAAATAAAATTTAAATTAGTGCCAGTATCACTGTACTGAGTTAATTTTTCAATAAAAATTCATAAATAATTTATTAAATAAATACATGTAAAAATTGTCTTTCAATTGAATACAGTGATGGTTGGTACTTTAACTGCAAATCTTTAAACATTTAAGTTGCAAACGACAGATACCTTCTCTGTGGAAGGCCAGTCGTGTTGAGAATTACTCGAGAAACAGAGTAATTCCTGATATACTTGAGATTCATCTACATCCATAACCTTAGGTTTCATGGTAAATGTCCCCACACCTGTTGTGGGACTAAACCCATTGATATAATTATTATAAATACCATAAGTAATTTTTTCATATCAATTTTTATCATAACTTTATAGAAACTTTTGTATTTAAGAAAATATTTTGTTTGTACTTCAGGAGCAAAATATAATTTAGAATTTACAAAATTTATACAAAAGTTATGTTAAATGCTTACCCTGCACCAGCACTTTGTAAATCTTTATAAATATCTTCTTGTGATCTACCATGACTTATAGAAAATCCACTATAATAAATATTTTTTTTTATATTAACATAATTTAAATTACGAATAAAAGATTGCATAGTAACAAATTACTTACAGTATACCTTTGCGTCTTAAACGAGGACAATTTGATAAAGCTGATAAAGTACGTAATACACGAAGAAAATCTGATAGATCAAATAACATGGAAGGTTCAAAAAGCTCAGAATCAGTTAATCCAAATATAGTTGAACATGCTGATAAAAATACTTTTATATTTCTTAGACATAAAAATTGTGCCATCTGTGGTTTTTGGTTTACATCTTTCATATCTATACAACCGGGATCTACTGTATTTAGAAGATTACATAGCAATACTCCATCTCTTAATGTATATGCTAAATCCACTGCAGTAGCCTCTGGCCAATTTGCTTTATGATCTGCTCTTAAAGCTCCACATCTTGTTAACCATTTAACACATTCATGCCAACCACTTCCATTATCTGAACTGCTTTCTATTCTGTTCATTTTTATATGTTTGGTTTAATACAAAATATTAAAAGTTTATAATAAGAACTCTTTCAATCTATAATACATTAGGCCATAAAGATTTTATAGATGTATTTTCTTATGTTAAGAAACTGTAAAAATAATAACTATAAAAAATATCATGAAAGATAATAATATTCAAAGATATACTTTAATAGATAAAAAAGTAAATTGAAATTATATCTAAAAGTATAATTTTAATAGATAAAACTATCAGAATTGATTGTCTATAAATGCATTAGAATGAAAAAACATAGTAAAATATAACATTAAAATAAATAATATTTTTAAAAATGTACCTCCATTCAACGAAGAATTTATAAATTGTTTCTTCGTTCTTCTGTCAGTGTTAAGAATATTCTGTAACCAGTTCTATGAAGGAATTCATTATTGTTCCGTGTCGGTTCTTAAAGATAATTCAACGGAATCTATAGTGCCGTTTAAAATGGTTTATTGGCAGTGTCATTGCTAAAAAAACATTTGGCCAAATTATAACTTTAATACGTGGTTATTACTTTACACGATATGCCTTGTTTTCTCATTGTAATATTATGACGTTCAGCCCGCTGCAACTTATGATCGCCATATTGCTACTTCACTGCAGTCGATCATATTATAAATCTCAATATAATATTTGCTTCATGTATTCAATCATAGATGGAGCTATATGTCCAGATAAATTAATATTATATTCAAAAGTTTGAAAATTGAAACAAATTGATTTTAACAAAAGAATTTTTGCCTTTTTACTTTTTTATCAAAATGTAGTATTCATTTATATTTTATTATAACTATAAGAATTTAAGTAGAAGAATTGAATAAAAACACATTTTAAATTATTTAAAATAAAAATTTCATAAATATATTTTCTAAAAGAATAAAAAAACTTATAATAATTTATTTAAAAGATGATATTGAAATAGCAATGTATAAATATTTAATTGTTATTTCAAAAATTTTATAAATTATATGTATTAGATTTTTAATTTTATTAAGTATTAATATTTTGTATAAATAAAAATAAAAATTAATAATTTTAAGAATTTTATTTATATTATTTATGTTATATTTTATTTATATTACATATTTATATATATAATTAATATATAAATCAGTATATTATTTAAAACAAAACAAAATGATCTTAGCCAATAGGATAAATAAACCTCGATGACGTAAAGTGAAGTTTCATATATATAAATACACACATTCATATATTTACCGTTCGTAGCACATTCTTATAGTTACTTTAATGCAGTGTGTTGATTATAATGACAGTAGTTTAAGAAACATTGAGTGGTATTGTATTTTATATTAATTAATAATACATTACATTAATAATCATAGTAAATTTGTTACGGTAAATTTTATATTTAAGAATATTGTGTTTATTTATATGTATATAAATTATTTATACGATAAATATTACCATAAAAAGATATTATATGAATAAAAAAAATATTTTGAAAATATTTTAATTTTATCAATATAATATATTTGAATAATTTTTATCATTTTGTCAAACTATTATGTATACGGTATTTTATAACAATTAAAATAATTTTTGTTTGCTTTTTTTTTTATATTTTTTTTATATTCTTTTCTTTCTTATATTAGTCATGATAAAATGGACAAAGAAGATAGAAATTATCGTTCTTTTTCTCCGATAGTCAATATATAAATTAACTTTGGTACAAAATGTAAAAATTGTCAATAGTTAAAATGTTTATGATCCTCTCAGCTAATTTTCGAAATTTATATCCAAAAATTTGTATTCGAATAAAATATTATTTATGCAATAAATAAAATATTATTTACGCGAATATATCGTGTTTATTGTTTCGAATTTCCAATTGCGGATTTCTAACATTTTATTATAAATTATATTTTTTTATGGATAGAAAATATAATTGTATGATTGTTTAGAACAATGTATAATAATTATTTAGATAATGTTCAAATATATAATATTTCAATATACATAAAAATAATTTACGTTTATATTTTTTTCTTATAATTATAATATACAGGATGAATCATGAAAAATAGGATATTTAAATATTTTCATTATTTGTCATCAGTTATATTAAAATTTTTTCAAGACAAAATTATAATATTGATATCATGATATATGATATATAATAATAAGAACAAAAATTTTTAAGATCGTTCTTTATGGAATTTTCATGTTACATTTGACTTTAAAACAAATTTATCAATTTATATTGTGATCTTAAACTGATTTTGGTGTTTGAAAATTTGACTGAAATTGATTGAAATGATAATTTCATTTCGTGAATAATATTTTTAACATATCTTTCCTATTGTTTCTCTTTATACAATTTTTTATTCAGATTATATTTATGTGTAAATTAATAATAAAATAAGTAAGTTTAATACTACAATTTATTACATAAAAAGAAACAACAAATATTGTAAATTGATATATGACTGTCATTGAAATTTAATAAATCTGATCAAAAATGATAAATTATTTTATTTTATATATTTTGAACAATATTCAATATTTTGTTGGTTTTGATACTTGGCTTTCGTTTTTTCTTCGATTAGTTTTCTATCTATATTTTCTATTTTTGCATTAAAAATACATAATAAATCTTTTAATTTTAATTAAATTTAATTAATTCTAATAAAAATTTTAATTTCAATTTCTTAATACTTATGTATTATCACATGCACCTTCTACAGTTTAATCTTCTTTTCTATATTATAGGAAAACTTATAAAATATAACAAATAGAACTTTTTTTAAATAAATTATAATGAACATAATGAACGAATGGACATCCAACTCAGTTAGTCAATGTTAAATAAATTTTTTATATTCAACATAAATATATAAAATATTAAAGCGAATAATTTGTTTATATTTTTATATAAATGAATCTAAATTTGAATATAAAAAGATAGTATTTGATTAATTAAGATTAATCATGATATTATGATTCGTATATAATATAAATATAATATATATAAAATTTTCTATGTAATGTAACGATTTAAAAACATTAAATGATCTGAATGAAAAATTTATGAAACGATAATTATTTTTCTTTTTTTTGAATAGGATTTTAAACATAATTTTTTAATATTCTTTTATTCCTTTTTTTTTTCTATTTTAATAGAACACTGAAAAGATGCAGATTTTATTTTATGTGATTGCATTATTAATTGTGTGTAATATCACACATGGAAACCTTTACAATAAATTACAATGTAAAGATGAAAATAATTTACCTGTAGATTGGTAAGTATTTATCAAATTTATTAAATTTATCTTAATTAAAATTAAATTAAAATAAAATTAAAATTAATTTTGTGTAAGACTTATAAAACTGTACTGTTTTTCTTAATTAATAAATAATACAAAATATAATTTAATTATAAATCTAAAATAATACTTATTATTTTAGGTATGTGCTTTATAAGTTGCCAAAAATTCAAACAAGTAGCAATCCTCTGATTAGAGAAGGCCTCGCTTATCTGTACATAACAAATGTAACCATTGGAACAGGCTGGCAATTGTCCATTAGGCCTATCGGTTCGAGCAATTCTATGCCTGGAATTACATTAGCGCCTCTTTACAGTCGTGTAAGCATTTAGCAAATACTAATTATTGATTAGATTTATTAGAAATCTAATCATACTACAGAATAGAACTATTTAATTAGAATTCAATTATTATATTATAATTTAAAGATGATGAAAAATAAAATTTCATTTTATTATAATTTAATATGTTCTAATATGAATTTCCAATTTATGAATTGCGGAATCTTAAAAAGATCGAAAAATAATTTTTAAGAAATCATTTTTATTTATATACAATTTTTTTAATGAAAATTTCATCATTTTTTTATCTTATAATATTTTATACATGGAAATGTAATACATATTAATGATTTATGATCTGAACGCGATAGATTTTATAAATTAACATGTAAATCGTATGTAATCTTTAAAAATAAAATATATTTATTTTATTAAAAATATAAAATAAATATATAAAAAACAAGGAAATCATTGATTTAATGTTTATGATATCATTAAGAAAAAATAAGAAAAAAAAAATTTTAAGAATAATTTAATGCATATAATAATATAATTCTATATAATAATTATATAGGAAAACGAAAAGGATAATTTGTGGAATTTATATAACGATAGTCCGCCAAATGCATCTTATGCATGGAATTATGGTCACACTAAAGGTGTAGTGATGATAAACAGTGATCAAGGATTTTGGTTAATTCATAGTGTTCCAAATTTTCCTCCAGTTCCAGTAGAAGGTATGCAAACTCGACCATTAAAAAGGGAAAATATAACTATCGATGGCAAATATAGTTATCCAGAAAGTGGAACTTTATACGGACAGAGCTTTTTATGCATTTCCCTTGGGAATGATCAGTTCGATATTGTTGGAGAACAATTAATATACAATGAAATAGCAGTATATGCAAAAAATATTCCCAAAACTCTTGGTAAACAATATCCAGTATTGAAAAATGCAACCAATCAGAAACATTTTAAAAATCCTCCATATACTCATAAAGCCATTATAAAATCTTTAGGAGAGCTTGAATTCACTTCGTTTGCTAAGAGTGGTAAATGGGGAAAAGGTAGGTATAATTGTAGATAATAATTATTTACTACACGTATATATTGTTTTTTATACATCATATCATATTTACATTATTTAATGTTAAATTTCAGATTTGTATGGCGATTTTGTAGCACCACAATTACAAGCAGATTTATATGTCCAGTCATGGTTGAATAGTCGAGGAAAGTTACCTACAGTTTGTACTCGTAGAAAGTAGGTTATATCATATTTTAATCTTTGTTCTTACATTTTAACTTATTTTCCATTTCATGAATTCATTAATTTTTTAGAATTTACAATGTTAAAAGTCTTAAATTCGAGACAGTGAATATAGATTATAATAGCAGTCACGATCATTCAAAATGGGCAATAACAGCCACTAAAAAATCTAACAATCATTGGGTTTGCATTGGTGATATTAATAGAGCCGTAAGTTTTATAATCAAAAATAATTTTTCTTATCTAAAAATAAATAGAATATAAATATACAAATTATTACATTAAAAATGTATTCCTGTTTAGGATACACAATATTCACGAGGCGGTGGAACTGTGTGTTTCAAAAAGTTATGGAATGATTATCGTAACGTTATAAATGATGTAGAGTCTTGTCATAATACTTCAACATGACACAATATAAATATTCATGATTTTTTAAAATAATAATTAGTTAATGAAAAATTAACATACTAAAAAAAAATATTAAATATTAAAATTAAACGATATTGTATGTTTTAATAATATAAACTTACATTATAATATTATATATGAAAAAAAAAAAGGAATATGAAAAAACACTATTTTAATTTAAAATGCAAGTATAGAGATATATATTGATTTAACAATGTTTCGATCGATTTATCGACATTATCTATATAAAAGATGTTTTTTAATGTGTATCGTGAATTTTTATAATACACCAATATGAGGACATGAAGTAATAATCGTCATATTAACTGCAGTTTACTTGCAAGTATATAAAGAAGAGGTCTCAGT